CCCTGGAGGGAGGTGGATGTCAGGGAACTGCCATCGGAAGGAAGGGAGGTGAAAGGACTCAGACCGGTTGGAAGAGAATCAGCAGCTGAAGAGGGGACCACCCACGCGAGAGAAGCTGAACAGAGGGAAAGGGAGCGGGGGGGATGGCTCAGAGATACTTCCAGCGAAAACAGTGGTGAGGTTTCCGGACCTCCTGTAGGGACACCCACTCCTCGCCGGAAACTGTCACGCAGAGAGTCCAGAAGACGTGTTTCCGTTAAGGAGCTTTTATGTTGGAAGCGATTACGAAAGCAACCACTGTCGGAATCTTCTAGTGACTAGAGGAGCCATGTCAGAGGGGCTCCGTCACAGACAGAGGTTTGTGGACTTGAACAAACTCTGAGGGAATACGATTTTACGCACAAGCAGCTCATCTTCCCATCACAGGTAGACTCATTCACGTTGATTAACAGAGTTGGCTGGGTTACATTTATCTTTCTGTCCCTCTGGATTAGCCAGATGATGTCTTCCTGCACTCTTGATTCTTCTGTGGGGTGAAAGCAGGCATCTTTTCTGTGGGATCATCCTGTAGGGATGGCAGGATGCTGTCAAGAGAGCAGAGTGCTGCCATTTGATGTGTGTACCTTAATACAGTCTTCATTTATTTTGCCTGTAAAGGAAAGCTATACAGACAACAACGGTAGCAAACCCAGCATAAATTCAGTTTTACGTCAAGCTTGTGGCTCTCATTCTGTTTGTTTCCCCTCCATTTTAGGGTCTTCAAAATTTAAATATATATTTTTCCTATCTACTACCTTTCATACTGAAATTTGGCATTATTACTGTGATATCCAAATCTAGTCAAATATCCAAATCTAGTGGACCCATTTGACTCTTAAGATGCCTTAGTCAGATGTATAGTCAACAAGTTGTATGTTTTACTTTGCTTGAGATTGTGGAAGGAATTTGCATGTGGTTGCAGCTGGCTCTTATATACTAATAAATAATGATTTAATAGCCCTCTTCATATCTTCAGTAGCTTGTTGCTATAAACAGAAACAGTACTGCACAGTTGTTTGTCATTGCGATAATCAGATTTTAATAGCTGTCTCTTGCCTGCCACCGAATTCTTGCTTCCAAGATGGATCCCACAAAGGTTGGCAACTGATCAGGAAAAAAACAACAGCCAGGCCTGCCCTTCTGCCTTTAATAACAGTTTTCAAAAATAAGCAGGTGATAACATGATGGTAAATGATGGTGATAACATCTGGACAGTGGCAAGTTGAAAAGTTGCAACCTCCCATCTGTCCTGGTACATACTTGTCCCATAACTGTGGTGGTTTTTGGAGACATCTCTCACGTCAGGCGTAAGTGTTGGCACCTGACTTCCTACGACAGCTGGCAGCTGCCTGGGGCTCCAGTTCCCCAGTAGTTGACACTTGCTCTAGTCCCTCCACAATGGGCAGCTGTGGCTGTGAGCCTCAATTTTAATTTCACACAACCCCCTGGAGCAACATTACGACAGGCATTCCAGGGCATTGTGGGAAAGCAAAATGGCATCTCCCTTGGAGTGTTCTTTGCTGTGTGGCAAGCCTAAAGGCATATCCTCCAACATTTCTCCCATGAAAATAGGGATGTCCCCTCCAACATTTCTCCCATAAAAATAGGGACGTCCTAAGGAAAACACAGGGACTTGGGTGGCGCTGTGGGTTAAACCACTGAGCCTAGGACTTGCCGATCAGAAGGTCGGCAGTTCGAATCCCCACGACGGGGTGAGCTCCTGTTGCTCGGTCCCAGCTCCTGCCAACCTAGCAGTTCGAAAGCACGTCAAAGTGCAAGTAGATAAAAAGGTACCGCTCCAGCGGGAAGGTAAACGGCGCTGCTCTGGTTCGCCAGAAGCGGCTTAGTCATGCTGGCCACATGACCTGGAAGCTGAACGCCGGCTCCCTCAGCCAATAAAGCGAGATGAGCGCCGCAACCCCAGAGTCGGCCACGACTGGACCTAATGGTCAGGGGTCCCTTTACCCTTTACCTTTAAGGAAAACAGGGACATTCTGGGATCAAATCAGAAACTGGGATGGCTTCTGTAAAACTGGGACTGTCCCTGGAAAATAGGGACACTTCGAGGGTCTGTAGAGGAGGCACTTTGCCCAGGTCACCTTCATTCTTCGAACCACCCCTGTCTCAAGTACACATTTCATGGACTCTGTTTATTTTTTTCATTTCATAAAGTTACACAAGGTTGTTTTGCATGCTACACGGGGCTATTTTGGCCTTGGGGTTTTTGCACTGTTCTTCTTTACGAAGCAAAATATTTCTGAAAGCAGCCCAGTTTATTTTAAGCCAGTTTGTCCTATGAGGTCTTTGTTTTTGGTACCTCCGTTTGCAGAATAATATTCTCCCACTCCAAAAGCTCTTCGGATGAAAGAATGTTTGCCTTTCTACTCCTACCAGCCCTTTGTCCATCTGCATTGCTTGGCCAGCTTAGGCATTCCAAGTGGTTCGTTCAGAGGGCACCATTCTGAAGAGCGTGTGAGGAGAGAATGTTATCTTGCTGCCATCTGCTATCTTGATGAAAATATTGAGCCGCATATCTATGAGAAGCCAGTTATCAATATGCTGCTTAATGTGTACAACATGCTGCCGGGCTCTAGACTGCTTGAAAAAGAACATTAGCGAGCAGATCTGGTATGATCTGATGTGCCGAAGCTGCCCCCTAGAGGGCAGGTGAGGGAACAGGAGGAGGGGGGAAAGGATCCTATCATCAGTGTTACACTGCCAGGCCAACATTCCCTTTCTTGCCTCCCCATCCCTATAAAATACACCCATGCTTATTCAGGTAAAGGAAATATGGAGCTAAGCTGGCCCACCTTTCAGTGAAGCTAAAAGCTCACCAGAGTAATTCCTGAGATCTGTTGAACGTATTCAGTGTGGTGCTGAAAACGCCAAGGTTGCAGGTTCGATCCCCGTATGGGACGGCTGCATAACATAATAATAATAATAATAATAATAATAATAATAATAATAATAATGTATTTATACCCCACCCATCTGGCTGGGTTTCCATAGCCACTCTGGGTGATTTCCAACTGAATAATAATAATACTAGCGATAAAGTATCAAACATTAAAAAAAACTTCCCTAAACAGGGCTGCCTTCTAAAAATCAGATAGTTGTTCATTTCCTTGACATTTGATTGACGGGAGGGTGTTCCACAGGGCAGGCGCCACTACCGAGAAGGCCCTCTGCCTGGTTCCACATTCCTGCATTGCTGAGGGTTGGCTTAGATAATCCTCAGGGTTGCTTTGACTCAACAATTCTGTGATTCTGTAACATACTATTCCCAGCAAATACACATTTATACCATCTTTCATCCAGTGAGCTAAATGTGACATACAGGGTGGTTCTCCTTCTCTCCATTTTGATCCTCCCATTACCCTTGTGAGGTAGGTTACTCTGAAAGATTGAGGCTGGTGAACTTTATGGCTAAGTGGGCCTTTGAGACCTGATCTCCCAGGTTCTATCCCACTAAGCCGCATTGGGATTGTAGTTTCCTTTCCCACCATAATACTCTTTAGCTGTGGTGATTTGAGTTTCAACTAATGATGTCCATTTGCATTGTGCTTCCCTTGTGTCTATACAGGCAAAATCTGACGAGAACTGAGAGGAGTCTTTAGCTGTACAATGGTACCTTGGGTTAAGAACTTAATTCGTTCTGGAGGTCTGTTCTTAACTTGAAACTGTTCTTAACCTGAGGTACCACTTTAGTTAACGGGGCCTCCCACTGCCGCCACGCAATTTCTGTTCTCATCCTGAAGCAAAGTTCTTAACCCGAGGTACTATTTCCGGGTTAGCGGAGTCTGTAACCTGAAGCGTCTGTAACCCAAGGTACCACTGTATTAGTAAAAGTTGTGAAACTCTGCACAGGATCAAGTGAGGCCCCAAATCTTGTGTCTGACAAATGCTGCTTCATAGCAACAAATATAAAGTGGCACTTGGACAATTTTTTAAAATAGTTGTTTCCTATTGTGCTTCTCTTTCTTTTGTACAGATGAATTAAGCTCTTGGGATCTTCTGATCTGCCTATCTTCCAGCAAAGCAGACCACGAAAATTGCTTAAATAGAGTGGAATCGCATGGAGCAACATTACTGCAGAAGGTATGGTTCAAAACTGTCATCTTTGTTTTTGACATGCCCTTAAGTAGTTATTGGCCCACCCAGTTAGATGCTAGTTCTGGGACCTTTTCGTACGTTTTTAGCTATCCAACCGGTATGGGAATTTGCTGGTGTTAGAGGAGGACCATTGTGTGAATGATGTCTCAGGCGCAATCTGCAAAAACTCTACCTGAAAGACCTCTGAGAATAAGACTGAGAGAAAACAGCCTCCTGAGATTTTGGAGAATTTTTGCCAGGAACAGGCAACACTTGTTTCAATGAGGCTTTTGTGGCAATGAAAATTGCAGGTGCTGAGGGCTTGAATTGGATTAGGCCTGCAATAAACCCAGTGCTTTTTTTCTTTAAAAATGTTTAGGGGTACTCTCATTTTCCTACTCATATTGAAATACTGCCCCTCAATGAGGCCAAACTTAGATTTACAAAACGTTTAGGGATACGCGTATCCCTGAATACCCCCAGAAAAAAGCACTGTATAAATCCATGCTATAGTGTCTTAATCCAGGCAGAGCCCCTATACAGTGGTACCTCGGAAATTGAACGGAACCTGTTCCGGAAGTCCATTCGACTTCCAAAACTTTCAGAAACCAAGGCGCAGCTTCCGATTGGCTGCAGGAAGCTCCTTCAGCCAATCAGAAGCTGTGGACGCTGTGTCGGACATTCGAGTTCGAAAGAACGTTCGCAAACTGGAATACTCACTTCCGGGTTTGTGGCATTCGGGAGCCAAAACGTTCGACTGCCAAGGCGTTTGGCTTCCAAGGTACGAATGTACTGGCAAATTAGAGAATCGTGGAGTCGAAAGGGACCTTGAGGATCCTCTAGTCCAGCCCTCCTGCAATGCTGAAATATGCAGCTGTCTCTTACAGGGATCGAACCTGCAGCCTTGGCATTATCAGCACCACGCTCTAATCAACTGAGCTATTGTGGTGTGAGGCACAACAGCCCTGCATCTGAGGGTGGAACTCTGTGACTGACATCACCTGAGGTTTGGCCTGAGTTAGCTAGTCCAATGGTCTGACACATTCAAAGGCAGCTTCATATCCTGGGTGCAGGGACATCCCAGCATTTCAGGCTAAGGATCTTGAGTAAAAGACCTCTGAGATGCTGGAGAGGTAGCTTCTTGTAAGGGTGAACGGCACATCCCGTTGGCTTGATTCTGGAGTAGACAGCTTCGTGGAGAGTTGTAAGCACATGTTTAATTCTCCCCCTTTGATATAAGTGGAAAGCGCAGCAGCTTAGCCTTGACTGGATCATGCCCACTGAAATTTCTACATGATGCCGCAATAATTCTGTGTTATCTGACCTAGATTGTTGTAGTTCACCTCACCCACAGCTGGAATTCAGCTCTCACACATTGCAATAAAAATATAGGATTCCAAAGAAATGGACACAAATGTCTCATTGAGGCAAGAATGCTTGGGAACAAAAGGAAACAAAGTGTGCAACATGTGCTCGGCATTTTGAAAGGATTTAAGTGGGTGTCACAAGTTTTCTTGCCAGGGCAGGCTTGACTTTAAGGTCTTTTTTTTTTAAGGCTTTATTGCCCTTTTATAAACATCTAGCATAAACATCTCTCCTAGGCAATTGGCAGTTGTATCTATAAATAAACAAAATGCCAGTAGGGTTTTGGACTGAATGCCAAAGAGGGAACTTGCCTCGATTTCTGATTCCTTGGGGATGTTCACACCTACGTGACTTGCAATTAAAAACGAACAGGATTTAGGGCTGATTGAAACCCCCAAGATAGTTTCTGTCCATTTTCTCTCCCCACGTAAGGGAACGAGTCCCAGCTAATACCTCTGGAGCAGCAGAGCGCCTTAGTGGCATCCTTGACTGGCACAATAAAAGTGACGCAGCAGCTACGAAAAGGAAACGCCAATGATCAGAATCTCTCCCATTGTTTTCAGGCAAATGCCGTTCCCCAAATACAGCGCCTGCTTTGCAGGAAAGAAGGGTTATGCCAGATAGTCAGAACATTTCCAGGTAACATTCTGATTTATTCCAATGGACGTTTGGTTAATTTTTTTTATACAAAAAATCTTTGTGTGTTTGCTGGAATGTGAACCCACCTTGGCTCATCTTGGGTCGCTCTCGAAAATAACCTGTTACTCATAGTGTCAGGGCAGCCCATCCCGTTTTGCCGCCTGAGGGGAAACGCGAATGAGCTGCCTCCTGCTCCCCTGGCTGCCATATCCTGTCCTGCCCCCCACCTCCCTGTCTTCTCCTGCCCCCCACTTCTGCTGCCACTGAAATGCAGCAAGAGGGACGTCCCACAAAGCCTCCCCACTTGTCTTCTCCACCCCAGGGGTGTGGAAGACGAGTGGCAGTGCCATGTCCCGAAAGTGGTGGGGCAGGCAGGGAGCTGCCTCTTCTGCTTCTGCCGCCTGAGGCGACTGCTTTATCCTGCCTCCTGTGTGGACCAGCTCTGCACGGTACTTAAATGTCATTCAGAGGCATTAAAGCTATTCAGTGCTCTTGTGATGGCCTGGGATTCAGACTCGGAGGCTGAACCTGGGGGATCCCAGCCTGCACAGGAGTCCCCACCTCCAGAACCAGCTGAGCCAGGGTTGGGACCTGAGCCTGAAGGGTCCTCCCCTGTGCTGGATCCTCAGGTGCAGGCACCAGCTGAGTCTGCTCTGGCTCCTGAGGTGATGGAGGACCCATTGCCTGCAGGTGCTCCACTCTCAGCCCTGTCAGGGGAAGAGGAGGTTGCCTTTGGGTCCAGTAACCCTCCAGCCTCTCCTGAGCTGCAGAGGCTCAAGGCAGAGAGGCGGAGGGAACTAAGTTCCCGCAGAAGGAGTGCTCGCTTCCAGGCCAGGAGGCGCGAGTCACCTGTGGATTGGGGCCGCCCTATGCCTCGGGGCAGACAAAAGCCAGCCAGCCCCAGTCCCAGGTTGTGGGAGCAACATTGTTGGTAGCCTGTTCCTGCCTGAACCCTGCCCTGCTTTCCTGCCTGAGCTCCTGAACTGCCCTGGCTCCCTGCTTGCAAGCCTGTTCCTGACTTCACCCAGCTCCCTGCCCTGCATCAAGCTTCAGCTACTATGGACTGCCTCCACATTGCACCTCTGACCATGGACCGGGCTTGAACCTTGCCTCCCGGGTAACTCACAGGACCAGCACAGCTCTCCATGCATTGAAAGAACCTGGGAGCAAACAGACGGGCATCACTGCAAACATTCCCTGCTGTCTGTGCATTCACAGTGTGGGAAGGGCCTCTATGCATCATCTTCTTCGGCGATCACTCGTAGCTGAGTAAGATTGTCTTCCATAAACTCGGTTTTAACAGTGAGTCTAAAAGTGACTGTGGAGGCCAATCCTGAATCCACACATCCTTCCACAGTGGGGACATAGGCTTCTGGGTGTGAGTTGATCACGGTCTGAATTTGCCAAGCGTGCCTTCCTGTTAGTGTGTTTCTCGCTTTTGTCCTGAGTTTGAGCGTCTTCCATGACACCTTTGGTAAAGGCTGTTCTCCAACTGGAGCACTCACAGGCCAGTGTTTCCCAGTTGTCGGTGTTTATACTACATTTTTAAAGATTTGCCTTAAGAGAGTCTTTGAACCTCTTCTGTTGACCACTGGCATTACGTTTACCATTTTAAAGTTTGGAATAGAGTAGTTGCTTTGGAAGACGATCATCAGGCATCTGCACAACATGACCAGTCCAACAAAGCTGATGTTGAAGAATCATTGCTTGAATCATTGTTCATGCAGGAGGGGACACTGGTTCAATGAGGGTCTCCCCTTTGCATGGAAGAGTCCTAGGGGCATGCACCCTACATTCATAGTCCCCTTCGCACACCAGCAATATGTGCAGATGGCTTTGTTGTGGCTGCATTGAAGGCTTGTCAAGGAAGCCCCATGAACCCCATCACACCTCCTTCGGTGAATGAGAGAGTAATTCAGACCCCCTTGCCAGATAAAGGAGAATGTGGTCGTACTAGGCTTGCCCTAAGGCCTGGTTCTCCTTGAGGTATCAATCCTGTTAGTGATGTGCCCTTCCAGCCCGAATGTGCAGGCTCTCCTGACATTATGCTCCTCCGTATGGAAAACAACAAGGTGGCTCCTTTTGTCGCTGCCATTGGTAAACAACTGGGAGCCAGGAATCCTTGCCAGGAATCTAGTGCAAATGGTAGCGAGATCTACCAGCACAGCCAGATCTCCCTTCTGTTCTAGGGTAAGTTTCTGCATTATTGCATGATGTCAGTGGCCCACCTGTCAGTGGCCCCAGTCCTGCCACTCACACCTGGCCCAGGGCGGGGCCTGATGGGCTCTATAAAGGACTGCTGCCGCTGCTGCTGCTGGGCAGAGAGGACTCTGTTTTGTTTTTGTTTTTTGTTTAAATTGCTGTTATTTTTTTACCTGTGTCATTTTAAACTGTGATATTAATGCTGTATTCTTAGTTTTCGATTTAGATTTATGTGGAAATTGTTTCCCATTTGGTTGTGTATTTTTTGGGTGTGGTTTATTTATTGTTTATGACTTTTGTAATTATGTAAATCTTGTTATGCTGTAAGCTGCTTTGAGCATTGTTTTTTTAACTGTGGAAAGGTGGCATGCAAATAAAAAATGATGATAATGATGATGATGATGATCTGAATTTTCTGCCTGTTGTGCACCTGTTGATATGGACATGACATTTTTAAAAGTGGTAACTCGCCCGCCACAAACCTGGGACTAGAAGCTTTCAAGACTGGGGGAAGGATAATATTTTTAATGGTTGCGCATACCCAGCCTCTCCAAATGTCCCTATTTTCCAAGGACATCCCTGATTTAGAGAAGCCGTTCTGCTTTCTGATTTCAACCCAAAATGTCCTGCTTTTCCTTAGGCTGTCCCTATTTTCATTGGAGAAACATGGGAGGATATAGAGTTATCCAGCCCCCTAGTTGTCTGAAGGCAATCCTATATGGGGAAGGTTTTTTTTTAAAACGTTTAGTGTTTTAATATATGTTGGAAGCTGCCCAGAGTGGCTGGGGCAACCCAGCAAGATGTGTGGGGTATAAATAGTAAAATTATCATTATGGAATGGGACGTCCCTATTTTCATTGGAGAAATGTTGGAGGATATGCATACTTAGGGGGGAAATGAACTTAACTATTACATTATAAAAGGAAAAGGATTGTTTTGGCGTCAAAGTGGCTCACACAGTCAAATGGCACACCAAGGAGTGTCTTGTTCTTGCCACCGAGTCCTCACCCACACTTGAACTTTAAAAGGGGGAGGGCTGAGTTATCTTAGAAACAAGGACATAGCCTGCACATTTATTCAAGAGGAGCGATTTCAAAATAAAAATAAAACACTTTCCTATTGTTTCTCCTTTTTCCCTTGGCTCCTCTCCTCAGTCAGGATATCCTCCCCTGTATCTGCTGTGTTGATTTAACTTTAGTTTTCCTGGCAGCACCTTTCGAATTAGCGTTCAGCGCAAGGATTATGGCTTGGAATTATGAAGTTTTATTGCTCGGGGTCACGTGCATAATCTTGGAAAGGAAATTGGAACGGGCTCCTTTGGGTTGCTGTTGTGTGATGCATGTGATGCCTTCTCGCAAATTAATAGCTGTGCTCCAAAAATGAGAAGTCACCACTAGAATGAGAGAACAAAATAGGAGAAAGAGGGAGACAAATAAAACTTGAGTTTTCCTAACGGGGTGAGGCGCAACAAAGCAGAAAGTTAAGGGCATGATCTAGCTGTGTGAAAATCATTTGATTTTTTTATGGGAGAGGCTTAAGCAGATGTTTACAATCGATGGGAGTTTAAAGTGTTTCTTTTTGTCTGGATTTTGCCATCAGCAGAGGGTTGTTGTTGTTTTGGATGAGTAGTAATAAATAATGGCAGTGTGACTGCTTCTTATAAGTGCCTATATTTCTTAGATTTGTTCCGTCTTTCACAATACTTTTCACATTGCCTCTGCAATCGGGTCAGCCCGATTT